GGAGCCCCGGGCGCCGAGGAGCCGAGTGCCGCCGCCGCCGCCGCCTCCGGGATGGATCAATGCGTGACGGTGGAGCGCGAGCTGGAGAAGGTGCTACACAAGTTCTCGGGCTACGGGCAGCTGTGCGAGCGCGGCCTGGAGGAGCTCATCGACTACACGGGCGGCCTGAAGCACGAGATCCTGCAGAGCCACGGTAGGCGGCCCGGGTGGGTGCGCGGGGTAGGCCTACCCGCCCGAGCCTTATTCTCAGCCCCGCGGCGGGAACACCCTTTCCCACCCATCACGCCCCGGGCTATGGCGGGCCAGGAAGGGTCCCCCCCGCGGTGGGCCGGCCCCTGCCTCCCTTGAGGCGCGGAGAACCCCAGAGCTCCGTGACTTTGCCTTCTTATCTCGCCTGGTTTACCTCGAATCTGCCGGGACATCGCTGTTAATCGAGAATTCGTCTGGAAATCGGATCCGGAGCCGCAGGCTCCAGCGAGTTAAACGTGCGTGGGGGGCCCGTTAGTGGTATTCGCAGACTGCCGCCCTCCCAGGATGGGCGCCCCTCTCCCGCCCGGCCCTGGGACTCCCACATTGCCCCCGCGGCGCGGTCCAGAGGGTAGGAAGTGCGGGAACTGCGTTGGATCCAAGGGTCTAGGTCGTAAGAGGGTCAGTGCTGAAAGCCCATTCTCTTCCCCCACCCCAAACCCTTAGCTGTTGGAATTTTCTTTCCTCGTCTTTATTAGAAAGTCCAGTGTTGTTCTTAGCTGTAGGTTAACTCAACAGTCCATCCTGCAACTTCATAATTTGACTGCTGTGTGGAAGCAGCTCTTCTTGAACTCTGCAGCAGCAGCACTGATGCCTTGGAAACCAGCTGAATCAAACTGTTAAGCTCTTCTAGAGTAGCTTGTGATGCGACTGAGAAGGAGCAGGCAACGTTTCCTGAATCAAATTGTGGCATAAGTTCTTAGTTATTCGCCTTATCTAGTCAAGGTTTTACTTATTTACCTACCATTCAGAAAACATTTTCTATAGAAGGTGTTTTACCTGGGTTAGTTCCTTATTGCCCTAGGCCCTGGGGACAGAAACTTTGCCAGAGTTAACTTGTGGAAGCTGGTTGGAAAAGGATTTTTTTCCCTCCTCTTTCTTTATGTAACATTAAAGATTTGGTATCTTTATATTAAAATACAGGTAGTCACTGATTTAGGATGTTTTCAAGTTACGACTTAAAACCAACTGCCCTTAGATGTTTTTGTATTTTATATCTTATCATTAGTAATATGAGTTATATACAATATTGCAGTTCATAATTTGCTGTCATTCTCAGATGTTCACTTGCAGGTGTTCAAAGATAGGATTTAAAAAGATATTGATAATAAAAGGCAATAATAATGAAAACAAAAGGTATTCGATTTACGTCAGAACCTATGTAGGATGAAGTTGTGGGAATGAAACCATCGTTAGTCAGGGACTGCCAGTCACAGTGATGATTCTGGTTGTGAAGTAAAGGACTTTTCATTTAGTGGGTTTATTTAAGAGATTGGGTCTGGGAGGCTCTTCAACTTGGTAGGCGAAACAGAAATTTATGTAAAGGAAGGTTTGGTAGCTGAGAAGGAATGTGATACTGTGGCAGTTGAGATGAGGGCAATGCTGTTAGCCGAGATTCTATTACTCTCTTCCTCTTCATTCGTCTACACCTTCGCTTCCCAGGACTGCCTTTCAGTTAAGAGTAAGTGCTAGTCAGTGGTTGAGAGTCTTACGACAACATGTCATTCTGGACACAGCAGTCACTTTTGAACTCCAGGGAAGAAGCAAACCTGCAGCCATAGTGGGGGTGAGATGAGAAAGGCAGGAAGTTGAAATATTAATATGGAAAAACCAGCAGACCTGGTAGCTGCCTTTGAAAGGAGGTTTCGCTGACTTGTTAGATGATGATATAGTTGGTAGAAATGGAGGTGGAGTGGTGTGAATCCTTTGATGGCTCTGGTGAGTTTGGTTTTGGATATGTAAGATCTGAAGGGCGTAATGAAGATAGAGACAAAGACTTAATGTTACTGGTGGCTGACATACGTGGAGTTTGAGAGAAAAGTAATACCTAAAACTGTTTTCTGATGCCATTTCTACAGCAGACAGGAGGAGGTAACTCAGGATGCAGGGAGAAAAGACTATAGGGTCCAACCACAACCTTGAACTCTTCTTGGAGAGTGGAGGGCGAAAGAGGAGTCATCAGAAACCAAAAGGCCAGGGGCTTAGAAAAAGAGTGCTTGGTCGGTGGCTATTCGGTTATCAGAAGTCAGTAACCCTCTGTGCTTGTAGTTTCATAGAGTTGTTAAAAGAAGCCTGATTACTAGGTGTAATGGTTAAGATTGTGTGTCAGCTTGGCTGTGCCATGATTCTCAGTGGTTTGGCAGTTATGTAATGATGTAGTTTGGCAGTTACATAATGATGGTAGTCATCCTCCCTGATGTGATCTGATGTGATCAGGCCATCGGGTGTAAGGGGAATTTTCTTGTGGGTGTGGCCTGCATCCAGTATATATATGGAAGTTCTGGCAAAGCCTGCTTGCTTGCTCTGGATCCTGCCTCCGGCTCATCATTAACTGACCTCCAGTTCTTGGGGCTTGAGCCAGCTGCCTTCCGTATTGCCTGCCAATCTTGGGATTCATCAGCCTTTGTGTGACCTGTAAGCCAGTGGCTTGCCGTCTTACCTGCAAATTTTGGTATTCGTCAGCCTCTGCAGCCTGTGAGCCAGCAGCCTGCTGTCTTACCTTCTGGTCTTGGATTTGTGAGCCTCCGCAGCCTATGAGCCAGCGGCCTGCCATCTGACCTGCCTATCTTGGGTTCATCAGCCCCTGTAGCTACGTAAGTCAGGAGAGGCCTCCAGCCTTACTATGCCTGACCCCAGACTTGGGACTTGCCAGCTTCTACAAATGCTTGAGCCATTTCCTTGAGATAAATCTCTTTCTGTACATACACACAGTTCACTGTTTCACTTCTCAGGAGAACCCAGCCTAAGACATTTGGTACCCAGGGTGGTTCTACAGAAGTGAAATCATAAGGATGAGTTTTCTAAGTTGGTTCTGAAGTCTGAATAGTCTTAAAGGTGCTGATGACTGCGTCTAGTAGTAAAGAGGGTGCTGCTAGTCCATGGTGTGAAGTGGCAATATTAATACACAAAATATCACCAACAGTTGATCAAGTATTGGTGAGAAGTGAGGCTCTGGGTGATTGCATGTTTTATACTTTCCTACAGTTTTGTCACAGTGAGAACTATAGGAAGCTGATTGGTCCTACTTTTGCTGGACAATGTGGTGAAAGTAAGGGATGAGCTCAGGGCTTCAGAATCACAGCTGAAGTACCTCATAAAAGACATCAAAGTTGCCACTTGTGCCCTGAAAGAAAGCCTCATTTGTTATAGTAACAGAGCTCATGTTGCTAAAAACCAAACACAGAGTCTTACCGTAAGAGTGGCCAAATTATAACGCCAGCCGAATTCCCAACCACAAATGGTGAGGGTATTGATTGGGAAAAAATGGGATCTTAAAACATGGGATGGGGACATACAGGCAGATAATCAGGAAGCTGGGAAAACTGAGTCCCTAAATTCCATTGAATCTCTCCTACCAACAAAATTACCTTCTTACTGCCATCTGAAGAGATTATTCCATCTTTGCTAAGCATACAAAGAAAAACCATTATCCCTTCTACCCCCATCTGATGAGATTAACCTAGTTGTGCTAAAGAGTCTTTGTCTGAGATAATGCCTGGTGTGTTGCTTTGGGCATCACCTGAGGTAGATGCTGTACAGAGTATTGCTGAATCTTGCCAGGACCCACCCCCACCACCCATTTTTGCTTTTAGGCCTATAAATAGACTTAAATCCCAGCAAGCCCCAAAAGGTGAAATACAAAGTGTGACCCAGGAGGAGGTATGCTACACTCCAAAAGAACTGCTTACCTGTTCTAATATGTACCAACAGAAACCTGGGGAATATGTGTGGGAATGGCTACTAAAGATGTGGGATAATGGTGCAAGGAACATAAAATTGGATCAGTCTGAGTTTATTGATATAGGCCCACTAAGCACAGATTCTGCATTCAGTGTTTCAGCTTGAGAGGTTAGGAAAGATCTAAAAGTTTATTTGATTGGTTTGCTGAAACATGGATTATGCGGTGGCCTACACTAAGTCAAGTTGCAGGACCAGACCTGCCTTGGTATACTGTAGAAGAAGATATTCAGAAGCTTAGGGAAATTGGCATGTTAGAGTGGATTTATCAGGTTAGACCCACACATGGAGTGCCGAGAGAACACAACTTTTACCATAGGAGTGAAGAACAAATTCGTGAAGGGAGCCCCAGCATCCTTGATCCTTTATGTATGTCATATTTGACAGTGGGAACATCCCTAACTGAATTAAGATGATTAACTACAATGGGGCTGATTAGACCCTGTAGTGGTAGGGGCCAAGTGGCAGTGCTCAGTCAACAAAGACAAGGTGTGCATGGTTACTGTAATAGACAGTGGATTCAAAGCGGTAATGAGAATAATCCGACTCATATAGATTTATGGCTTTGGCTACTTAGTCATGGTGTCCCTAGGAGTGAAATAGATGGGAAATCTAGTAAATATTTACTTGATCTGTACAAGCAGAAGAATTCTAGGTTAAGTGAACAGAAGTGTAACTTGAATTGCCAGAATAGAGAGTCATGGCCCTATGATCAGTTCCCAGACTTGATCCAGTTTACAGACCCACAACCCCTTAAATGAATGAGAGGCTGAGTCCCCTTGAGGAAGGACCTCACTACACTGCCAAAAATTTATACTGTTAATCTTTTTTTTTTTTTAATTGTGCTTTAGGTGAAAGGTTACAGCTCAAGTTAATTTCTCATACAGAAATCCATATACACATTGTTATGTGATACTAGTTGCATTCCCTACAATGTGACAGCACACTCCCCCCTTTCACCCTGGGCTTCCCATGTCCCTCCAACCAGCTCCTGTCCCTTCCTGCCTTCCCATCCTGCCTCCAGACAGGAGCTGCCCATTTGGTCTCGTGTATCTGCTTGAACTAAGAAGCACATTCTTCACGAGTATTATTTTATGTTTTGTAGTCTAGTCTAATCTTTGTCTAAAGAGTGGGCTTCAGGAATGGTTTTAGTTCTGGGTTAACAGAGCGTCTGGGGGCCGTGGCTTCGGGGGTTCCTCCAGTCTCAGT